TTAGGTAGATCCCGACGAGATGTCGAAGTGTGTTTGTTTTGGGCCGATGGTTTGCAGGCTAATCAACCCTTCATTGAGACATTAACCTAGCGCTTAATCATTTTAGACTAGGCGAGTAGGCGCAATCCTCGTATTCGGGAAAAATTTTACAACTCGATTTTTTTATAATCAGGTTTGTTAGATGTCCCTTAATATGAATCAAGAAACTGTCAGGCGGTAACCTGGTGCAAAAGAAACGGAAACCTTAGAGGAAATCTCTTTCCGCTGATTTAAAAAAAATCGTATGGTATAGATCTCAAAACAAAAAGTTTTTCTAAAAGTGGGCCTTCAAGTTGAGCAGTCCATTTATGATAAAGGCATTTGGTGTTGTTTTTCGGACAATTTTCATTACCCGAACCTAAATTTTTTAATTGTTCTAAGTAACTAAATTATTCGGATTAATTAAACTGTTTAATTAGCTAATTTAGTTTACCATAGATATCAATATACACTCGGACAGCGATCAGCAAAACACCAACCACTTTTTCCGATTTTCAAAAACGCTAAGCGTGAGACAAACGGGAATACCCTATTTTTACAAATTCGTACATCGAAACCAAGTGAAAATGACGTCATATTCGCTGAGCGGCTTTGCGGTTTGAAGAACGAGCATACCGGCAATGACCCATTTAATTCCGTTCTTATACATGTTCGTAGCCAACTTTCTTCTAAGAAATACTAACTTGGGCCGAATATAATCCCTTTGAATTGATGACCACGTTGCGTAGGAAGTGCAGAGTCGACCTACTTGACGACATCAAGCGCGAGAATGTAAGCAAATAGCAATCATTTTTTTCCGTGCGTGAAAGCATCTGGCTGAAGTTATGGACCACGGGAGGTGGGGGTGTCCGGCCAAGCTGAATATTTATAAAAATGTTTATAAAGTATACATAAATATATAAAAGTCTTATTTTTACTTACCTTTGTAAACGCTGGTAGTATATATAAACGGTACTGAATGCCCCATGTTATGTCTTTGAGAAAATAAGTCATGTCTGGAAGCCCTGGATTTTTAAACTGTGGCCCCCAAAGTTCCCCCTGAATACGCCCTTGTATGTAATAGCTGTTTGATATTTACTTATGTTATCCTCATCATCCCTGTCACATCTACAGGGCGGCCGCCTGCATGTCCTTTTTAGTTACGCTCAGGGTTACCTTACAGAATTTTACTAAAGGCAACACGTAGCCCCTCCCACAGAAAGACCATGACTCCGGCCATGACAAGAAACGTGGTAAAAAGAATTTTCCGGATGTCGTGAATGTGTTTACGTCTTTGGAACACCGACGTTGTTAGGTGGAATGGATTTACTGAGTCACACTGTCAGGAAGGACAAATCAGAACCGGTTGAATAGTCATGCTGCATCTATGGATCTAATAAACACTTAGAAATAGCAAAACAACAAAAATATATAAATGAATATTTTTGAACGTATTCATTAGAACCCCAGTTGAAACAGATTTATACACAATTATAATACAGACTTTTGTTTTTAATGTGAGAGATGCGATGGAGCAACACTCCTACATTATATTTGTACCTCAGAGGTAGGCTAGTCCAGTTTTGCCTAAAATGAGTTTTATGCTTTTTATATACCGAAGCCGCGTAGACAGAAGTCTAAACGAGCATCAAGACACCTTGTCAATCCGATTTTAAACTATCTAAGGATAGTAGAACTGGGAAAAGCATCCTCATCGTCCACAATCTAGACACACTAGGGACAAAGAAGCGGTCGTATTGGCCAGTTCGGGATTTACGAAGCTCAAGACGTCTGTCTGGCAGCTAAAGAATCCGTCAGGTACGTGTATCTAACAATTCCTCATTTATGTTGGAAAACTGGTGTCAAGTAGACTGAATCTATGAGCCCACGATGAAAACTTAGCTACACTAAGCTTAGCTAGATGTGGTACATTTGAAAGCAACAGCTGTTAGATACTCTGATTGTATTATTATACTAAGTGACATATAAATCCGAACACCCAGCTTAAATGGTTTTATTTTAATAAAAGTTGGTGAATGTATTTATCTTACTGTAAATAACAAGTTAAAAAATGTACAGCCTTATCAGTTGGACATTCCGGTTTTTATACTGCTTTTTTTTAATTCACTAACGCTCTAAAAATGAATATTTGAGCCGTAGTAAAGAATCAACGTTGGCGGATTTTGGTTCTTGACATCCTTTACGATCGGTTACGATGCCTAGAGTACGGAGACCTGTACGATTTCGTCAACTTAGTGAGTTTGATAGGGGCCGTATAGTGGGACTTCGGGAAGCTGGATTTTCTTTTCGGGCAAATGCAGTTAGAATGCAAAGAAGTGTAGACACTGTGGTTAGGTGTTGTCACGCATGGCTTCGAGAAGGCCGTACGCAAAGAGCAAGGGGCACTGGACGCCGCCGTAGAACAACAGACCGTGAAGATCGCCGCCTAAGATTATTGGCCTTAAGGGACCGTTTCTCCACTACCAGGTCCATTGCAAATGAATGGTTTGCAGAACACGGAAGACCTATTGGCATGCGAAGTGTTTACCGACGAATGAGAAGTTTTGGCTTGTTTTCATACCGGCCACACTGGGTCCTCCCTTTAACTCGAGAACACCGACGTAATCGCCTTGAGTGGTGCAGACAACGGTCACTCTGGGATCAGGAATGGAACAGTATTGTCTTTAGTAACGAGTCTCGATTTTGTTTAGGCATGCACGATGGTTGTGCCAGCGTTAGAAGGCGACGTGGTGAAAGGAGGAATCCACAGTTTTTTGTTGAAAGACATGTTCATCACACTGTTGCAGTTATGGTTTGGGGCGCTATAGCTTATGGTTCCAGGTCACCTTTAATCTTCATCAGAGGTAACATGAACGCGCAGCGTTATATCCACGAAGTTCTAGAACCCCATCTTTTACCCCATCTTGACACCCTGGCAGATCCAACTTTCCAACAAGATAATGCCCGACCACATGTTGCAAGAGTCACAATAGACTTCTTTCAACATAATGATGTCACATTGTTACCATGGCCACCAAGATCTCCCGACTTATCCCCAATTGAGCACGTGTGGGATATGATGGGTAGGAGATTGCTCAATTTGCAACGTCCTCCTCAGACTCTAGAAGCACTTCGAGAGGAGTTGGTGGTTGCCTGGAATGAGATATCACAGGAGGAATGCGTAGCACATCAGGGTGCATCCACACATTATTAAAGGTCAAAGGGCTTTAAAGCAGTGCAATCATTTTGAAATTTTTATCATTTACTTATTATGCTTCATTAAGTGCTTATACAAAATTTTATTAAAATAAAACCATTTAAACTAGGTGTTCGGATTTATATGTCACTTTTATATATACTTTGAAGTTGAGTCATTAATTTTCAGATAATGATTGTAGAAGGAAGATAAACCAAAATATGTGTGTAAAAATAAAAAAATAAATAAAAAAAAATGTTACCTTGTTTAATAAAGTATCGTCCCGACAAGTATTTCAGTGCGGACCTGTATTTGATCGTGCGGTATTGGAGCAGCATGCCCTGACCTGTGAGGTCTTAAGTCACCTGATTCACGAGCACTTTGTACTACATTAACAAAGGCACGAGGGGTTGGTTGCACTCGATTGGGAAACCGATTCGCATAAATCCGTGATGCATCCGGGAGCATTTTGTAAAGACTGCCCCCCCGTAAATAAGAATCATGTCCACAAGTTCAGCATTTTCGTAAACATGTGCCATTTTTGATTTCGTTTGAGCCACGCAACAAACACTTACTATTTATTCACTAACGCGTTATCGACTGACGAAAAACATCGTGATAAACGTTTCAAATTCTTTCGCTTTTTTGTTTCCGATGCGATGAACCGGTCAGGCGGATTATATCCGTTGTCGCCAAACACGAACATATTATTATTGAGACAGGGCAGTACTCAAACTTCCAAAGGGCTATAACTTTGTTACTTTAATTTTACCAGAAAAATGGTAAAGGAAAAAAACATTTCTTTTGATCAGATCTACTCACTGTTAAAATAAATGACTCAACTTCGAAGTCACCCTGTATATATATTAGTATATTAGTTGAATAGTATATGCAATAATTATTTCCAGGAAAAGGGAAACGATTTGTTATCTGTCACATTGGCAGTGAAGATGGCTTTGTGCACACTGCCCTATGGGCATTTGAGTCAAAGAAAACGGCCTACTACCATGAAAAAATGGGCGGGAGTTATTTGAACGATGGTTTGAAGAAATGCTCCCAATGCTTGACGACAATGCCGTCATTGTACTTGATAATGCTGTATACCACACATCGAGATATAATACAAAAGGAGACGCTATTGTCATATAAATCATGCTATCGATAAAGGGACCGGGGGGTGGAGCTTGCTACACTTATGTATTTAGAAAAAATCTATTTAATATACAGTGTGTCCACTTACTTCAACATTTGTGTTTTTTGACCGATTTTCATAAACTTTTTTTTTGATGGTCAAAAATGTCAGTTTGCGGATATTCAGAAAATGTAAGACACGGCCCAATACTGTATTCAAGTATTAAAAGCGAAGAATCGAGAATTACTATAAGCGATATTTGAAAAAAATTACACCGGTTTATTATTCAGGACCACCTAAAACATATGTTCACCAAATTTGGTTGTGATAGTATACTGTCAGTTGGAGTCAAATTTTTAGAGGTGCAATAGATTTCCGGATTAACTTTAAATATTTTTTCTTACGGCATTTCTTTCTCAAGATTCATACATCGCATCTTTTGAAAACCAAACTTGGTAAACCTATGTTTTAAGTGGTACTGAACAATAATCCGTTGTCATTTTTTTCAAATATCACTAATCGTACTTCTCGACTTTTGGCACGTGAAAATTGAATACAGTAGCCCGGGACGAAATTTTTTGTTATTGAAAATATTAGGCCTAATAAAATCTATTAGATACATGTTTATTATACAAATATTTTTAAGTAATTAATTTTTTGCGTTCCTACATAAATAAAAATCAGGTTTGGAAATAATCTTTATTACATAAATACATAGATTAGGTACAGATTAATTTATTACTGCCCTCTAAATAATACAAGCTTATTGCTATGATGTTTTATACTAACTGCTTGTTTCTGTAGAAGGGATGAGTCGAAATTAGGTCTTAATACTGTATTTGATAGTACTAGTATCTTGGCAGGTGGTGATTCTTCCTAAAATAAAACATTAACGCTCATTACTTCTAGACATTTATGAAACCTAGAATTTACATTAAAACATGCATTTAAGATGACATTATATGAAGGAAAACTACAAAAAGGACAAAAAACATAACGACTGTTTTGAATTAAGTATACAGAACATTTTAGGAAACAAACATGATTTTATTAACATACCTACCTGGTTTGGATGTATTGTCGGAACTGCATTTGGTTTGAGATTAACATAAAATTTTGTTGTTCTATCGAATGACTCCTCAGAAAAATGTTTCGAGCAAATAACACTAGATCTTGTAGGTGTCCATTCACCCCTATTAACAAATTTCACCCAAAGTTGGCAACGGTCAGCGTTTCTAGGGAATCTACAATTAATAAATATATTCAAAATAAAAATATTGGATGGCTCAACTCATGAAGATAAGTTTTCTTTAAGAAAATCAAGCACCTTGACACGCATTTTATGAAAATAATACAATCTCATGACCTGCAATTCAAAATTTAATTGATAAATTAGTATTTATATTTTTTCGATAAATTACTCGTAGATATATTACGGGTAGTTTGGTTAGTTAGGTCAGCTTCAAAGAGAGGTATTAATAATAAGCCTAATAATTTTGGCAAACACGATTTTCTATAATAAACAATCAAGCCGAAATGAAATATATATACCTAGGTACGTCTCTGTAATATGTTTATACTAACCTATGGAATGTTTTTCCTGTTGTATTCTTTTTATCCACTTCAGTCCGATTTGCACAACTCTGTAGAGCACAAGACACCATAATAATATTCTTCAATTTGTGCAAACAGTATCACAAAAGCCTCTGAATTTCAAAAATAAGTACAATTAACTGCAACGAAATCCAAAACAACTCGCATAACGCACTTTGACATAACTTTGTCAGAAGTCAGTCATCAATATGACGTACCAGGTGTCGCTCAAAATCATGTGATTTCGTCTCCTCTTTTATTATATCTCGATGATACCACACTATAAAACTAGAAAAAACCCACAATGTCCACAAGAAAGGCAGAAATTCAGCAATGGCTCCTATCAAAAGACATTAGTTTCAATGAAAATATGCTCAAAGCAGAACTTATCCTTCTAGTCAGACAGCACAAATATAAATATAATCTTAATGCTGTTGACGAAATGGCAAAAAACCATAAGACTGTTTTAAGGGCTTTAACTCTTATCACTGCGAATTAAATCCCATTGAAATGATTTGGCAAATATAAAAAACTTTGTGTCTTCAAACAATAGAACAGTCAAATTTTCTGACGTGAAAAATTTGTTTTATAAAGCTTTCAATAGAGAATGGTTTGCCGTCAAACCATTGGAAATATTGCATCCGTCACGTCCAAGAGTCAATCAAAACAAAGATTTGGGATTTGGACAATAAGATTGATATTCAAATTGAACCTGTAATAATTAATATTAACCATTCGGACGATGATTCAAGAGTTGTGAAAAGTATGTGCATATCTTTCTATAAAAATAATAATTTAGGGACGTATCGTCAGTCGTCCCTACAATTGTAGGGCGCGTTTATGGCCTCCTTGATTGTCATACTCCTTTCTCTCTTTCAAAAATTTCTAGATTACACTTGTCCCGTGTCAGCGTCAGCGCTCTCCTATTTTGAAGATATGTTTTCTTTTTAAATTGTAGGAAATTTCAGGCTGATAAAACATGATATAACTCAAAAGCAAGCAAAATTTGATGCAAATAGATGTTTGTGACATAACCTCAAAATAGAGTTCTGACACGGAGAAGTAGAAAACTATTACAATCAAGGAGGCCTTAAAGGCGCCCTACAATTGTAGGGACGACTGACGATACGGGCCTTATTTTGTTAGATTATTCCAAGACCATTGAGGAAAATACGGACCTGTATAATCTCGCCTTTGAGCATGTTGTGTTTTGTCTGGGCGCAAATGGACTACGAATGGGCTATAGAGGCACACTTCTCGCACCCTCCTGAATGAATCACTGAATGATGGTCCGTGTATGCAACGCCGGCTAGATCGCATTGTTGTCAAGTCTGTGAGGACTATGAACTAATTGTATTGGCCTGTTTGACTGACATGATCCATTTAATTTCTTTGTTATACATGTTCGTAGCCAGCTTTTTCTAAAAGGGACCAACTTGTCAAACCAAACATGCTATGCGCTTCCGCAGTGCTCGATTCTGGTATGATAGATGGCACTTTGCGCTGTCTTATTTGAACTTGTACCGAGTGCAAAGTCAACCTACTTGACGCCAGTTTTAGGGACGCGGCAGATTGATACTACAACTAAACATGTGTAATTAATTACAGATTGATTATATTAGACTGATCAGAAAACCATATCTATAAATCGAGATTTAATCGATTCATTCGTAAAATTTTGCAGTCTGCCAGAAACACAATCTTTTTCGAGATGTTTTCATCCACATTCTTAATCAAAGCAAATATTTTTTGTTTATTGGTAAGATGCTCAAACAATTTATTATCTTTATCTAAAGTATCGTTGTTCGTATATAACTTAACTTTATTAACTGTTTGTTGACGGTTGTAATTGTTTTTTCATATCGACGAAGCTTATCATTACTACACTTGCACGCGAGGATTCTTGATAAGGGCGTGTTGGATAGGTGTCGTCAAGTACATCGACTCGAAACTTTTCTTACATGAATGACATAAATATAGACGCATATGCAGAAGCCTAAATACCGGGGCACCGCGGCTGCTATAAGATACTTTGTAAATCCGACTGTCTAATACTGGGAAAAGCCTCCTCAGGCAGATTGTTACACAACCTCGACACCCTAGGGACAAAGGAGCGGTCATACCTGCCAGTTCTGGATGTATTATGTTCGACACGGTCAAAAATTCCTACACGACACTTAAAGGTGTTAACAGGGACACTACAAGACACGAGCTTCTAAAAAATAGCAAAGTAGCATGGACCTACGTAAGAACGTATGCAACAACAAAAAAAAAGTCCATGAACGATAAAGTAGAACAACACACCACTGACCAACAGACCTTTACTAGCCATGAAATTCGATCGTATCGCATTATTTGTAATTTCGAAAGACCTTCTCCAGCGAGCTGGTTCGCAATTTTTTCCGCCAATCAGGTGTGTGAAATCTAAAGAGCCAACTGCTATCGCCCCCCTCTTGTAACGTGGAAACGCACGTTATAGGCCCGATAGCTGCCAAAAAATGTAAAAGAAATTGAATGATTGTAATATTGATGGAAAATGAAATGGTGCCTCCTTCATGGATAGAAGAATGGCGTCAAGTAGCTTGAGTCTGCATTTCTCATGCAGTGCTATCATAATTTCATAAAAGATTATGTTCTGCACGAGTTAAAAATAGCTACGAACATGTATAACCAAATTATTAAATGGATAAAGTCCTTCAAACAGGCTCATACAATTAGTATAAAGTCCCCACTTATTTGACAACTGTACGATCTAGAGGTGTCTACCGACAATATCGACTGTATGGCAACGTCGCTTTGGGTAACCTCGCCATTCGCCAGCCACGACAGCCACCCATCGGTCAGACCGCGATGCAGGTGTATGCAGAGACGCGTGAGTTGAAAGTATTTCACTATTGATCAGTTTTAAATGCGAATGTACAGGATTTGAATTTACTAACGTCAATAAATTAACATCCTCACCCACCCCCCTACAATACCCAACCGTCAATGTTTAACTACAAAAATTTTCTGAAAATGATCTAGGAATTCTAAAACGTTAAAAAACGAAAATTGAGCACTTTTTTATTTTTTTTTTCGATTTCTTGCTCCTAGTTTCGCCGCCACTTGGCCGATTTTCATCTACACAATAATATTCTTATTTTTTTTAAATGTTTAATCTTTTACTATTTCTTTTATTCTGCAACTTCTATATACGTGAGTTTTGGTATATCAACTTATTTTGACGAGTCCTACAAGCCGTTAAAATAAATGACTCAACTTTGAAAACACCCTTGATCATATTATTTAGCAGAAATAGTTATTTTTCTACTTTGTCAAATATTCCATATTAATAACATTTCCTAAGCATAAAAGCAGTAAATTTTTCAAAGTAAAAAAGCAGTTATTTTCAAACTGCTTCTATTCTCTGTGTGATACAAGTACATACTGCCTCTTATAACCTATTCTGATGTTTACTTGTTTAGTTTCTTTATGTGAATAAGTATTTATCGTAATAAGTAATTACTTATGATCCGAAAGAATAATTTTGAAAAATATTTTTCGTTTAATATATAAGAAAACATGATCTTCTTTATATAATTATTTTTGTTGAATGTAATTATATAATTTTTAACTTGAATTACTAGATGTTGGTGACTTAATTTTGTGCTGTTTACATAAATTTCAACATAAATTTGAAATAAAATAAAATTCTGCATTACTGCGTTTTTCCTCCGAAAATATATATACAGTGCAGCCCGCTTATAATGGACTCGGCGTGACTGTGGCAAATAGTTTATTATAGGCGGATGACCATCTTAAAAGAAACACTTTTTATAATAATAATGCCTCTAAAAATGTGTGGTGGTGCCCCGTCATGAAGAAACCACAAATTCTGTCTCCGTTGTACTGGCATGTTGTCTAAGGTCTGTTCCAAAAGTTCTGATAGGTCATTGGCTAGAAAGCTAAGGTTCTCCTGACAACTTTGGGGGTAACTCGAAAGGACCAATTACCTGATCGTCAAGAATACCCGCCCAAATATTTTTTAAAACGTTGTTGGAAATAACCTTCACGAATGGTATGAGAGGATTTTCTTAGGCCCACGTGTGAGTCTTATGGAAATTTAATATCCCCTCGCGTAAAAGTACATTCATCCGTCGCTGAATGTTTTTAAAAAAAATCCGGATTTTCAATGTTTTTGTGCAAAAACCACTGACAGAATGTTAATCTGCGAGGATAGTCTTCTGGTAACAAGGCCTACACTCGGGGGTAACTCGAAAGGGCCAATTACCTGATCGTCAAGAATACCCGCCCATATATTTATTTTAAAACGTTGTTGGAAATGACCTTCAGGAATGGTATGAGGATTTTTTTGGGCCCACGTGTGAGTATTATGGAAATTTAATATCTCGTCTCGCGTAAAAGTACATTGGTCCGTCGCTGAATGTTTTAAAAAAAATCCGGATTTTAAATGTTTTTGTGCAAAAACCACTGACAGAATGTTAGTCTTCTGGTAACAAGGCCTGCACTCATTGTACATGGCAAAGCAAATTTTCCCGTAAGATTCTATAGACTATGGTATGCGATAGTCCTACGCGGCGGCCTAATTCCCGAGTGCTGATATCTGCATTGATTTCCACGATATTTAAAATTTGTTCCTCCTGCTCTACAGTAACCTGTCTTTCACGACAGCGAATATTAGTGGGCTGAACACTTCCTGTATCTCTAAGTCTTTGGTACACTTGCACAAATGCCCTTCTGTCTGGGTGTACCCGTTGGCGAAATCTGTCGCGATAAATTTGAGCTGCAAGGTTTGAATTCTGACGAGCTTCACCGTAAACTAACAACATGTCGGCGAACTTTTGATTCGAGAATATTATAAATAAACACGACGACGTACGCGAACAATAACTAACCACTGTTACAGTTTGCGATCGATTGCCGGTTCGATAAGAGGGATGAATGACCGACGCGCTGTTATCATGTGTGTTTTAAATATTTAATTTATTGAAACTTACTGACTACAACTTTTGGCTTACCTAACTTGAAAAAACTTAATGCCATTTATTTGTAAATTACCCAATTTGAAAACGTTTTAGATTAGATTATAAAAATTAGTAAGATTGTGGTCGATATAAAGCACTTAAAGTTGTAAACTATAAAGCCATTTAGACAAAAATCTATTGACCTTTGGACCATGGGTCATATGAACTTTTTGACTTGTTTCAATAATGACTACCATAACGTTTACATCCTGTATAATATCACTCCCACGGCAACGTGGAGGCACACG